GTCGTCAGGGCCCCTGCCTTCAACTGCTGCCCAATCCACTGTGCACCGGCCCCTTACGGATCCTCCTGCAGGTGGTGGGCCCACGGGAGGACGTCCCCATGTCGCTCGTTCGGGCCCCGTGAGGGGAGGCCCGGCCACCAGGCGCTTGCATTCAAGCCCCAACCCCGGGCCTGGCTCCAGGGTGGGGCCCCGGCTGCGCCATGCCGGGCGACATCACGGTCCTTGATTTTAATCTATTCATAAAGGGCTTTTGAATCGCTCTTAGTCTGACCCGTCACCCAGGACCTGTTTGCCTTGGGAGACCCTACCAGGGACATATAGCCCCCGACAACATAGCTCCTAGGATCACTCGGGTACTCAAACCCCTCCACCACAATAAGGTGGCGGTTCAAGGAGGGGTAAGACTTTCATTGTACAGGGAAACACGTTTCCTAACTGTGCATGTGAAAGATAAACACTTTGGCCTTTGACTTTTGGTACTATAAAATTAAACCACCAACTCACTTGACTGACTTCTGTCCTGTATGATTTCTTGAGACTCTTCAGACCTCATAACTGTACATGAGTTTCTAACATCTAATTGAAGCTTTGTGTGACCTTTTGTGCTATTTTCACCACACCGGACAGTGACATCATCCAGGAAAGGTGCTGTGTTGACCAGTCATATACAGTGCCTTGCGAAAGTATTCGGCCCCCTTGAACTTTGCGGCCTTTTGCCACATTTCAGGCTTCAAACATAAAGATATAAAACTGTAATTTTTTGTGAAGAATCAACAACAAGTGGGACACAATCATGAAGTGGAACGAAATTTATTGGATATTTCAAACTTTTTTAACAAATAAAAAACTGAAAAATTGGGCGTGCAAAATTATTCAGCCCCCTTAAGTTAATACTTTGTAGCGCCACCTTTTGCTGCGATTACAGCTGTAAGTCACTTGGGGTATGTCTCTATCAGTTTTGCACATCGAGAGACGGAAATTTTTGCCCATTCCTCCTTGCAAAACAGCTCGAGCTCAGTGAGGTTGGATGGAGAGCGTTTGTGAACAGCAGTTGTCAGTTCTTTCCACAGATTCTCGATTGGATTCAGGTCTGGACATTGACTTGGCCATTCTAACACCTGGATATGTTTAGTTGTGAACCATTCCATTGTAGATTTTGCTTTATGTTTTGGATCATTGTCTTGTTGGAAGACAAATCGCAGTCCCAGTCTCAGGTCTTTTGCAGACTCCATCAGGTTTCCTTCCAGAATGGTCCTGTATTTGGCTCCATCCATCTTCCCATCAATTTTAACCATCTTCCCTGTCCCTGCTGAAGAAAAGCAGGCCCAAACCACGATGCTGCCACCACCATGTTTGACAGTGGGGATGGTGTGTTCAGGGTGATGAGCTGTGTTGCTTTTACACCAAACATAACGTTTTGCACTGTTGCCAAAAAGTTCGATTTTGGTTTCATCTGACCAGAGCACCTTCTTCCACATGTTTGGTGTGTCTCCCAGGTGGCTTGTGGCAAACTTTAAACGACACTTTTTGGTGGCAGCATCCTGGTTTGGGCCTGCTTTTCTTCAGCAGGGACAGGGAAGATGGTTAAAATTGATGGGAAGATGGCTGGAGCCAAATACAGGACCATTCTGGAAGGAAACCTGATGGAGTCTGCAAACGACCTGAGACTGGGACGGAGATTTGTCTTCCACCAAGACACTGATCCAAAACATAAAGCAAAATCTACAATGGAATGGTTCAAAACTAAACATATCCAGGTGTTAGAATGGCCAAGTCAAAGTCCAGACCTGAATCCACTCGAGAATCTGTGGAAAGAACTGAAAACTGCTGTTCACAAATGCTCTCCATCCAACCTCACTGAGCTCGAGCTGTTTTGCAAGGAGGAATGGGCAAAATTTAAGTCTCTTGATGTGCAAAACTGATAGAGACATACCCCAAGTGACTTACAGCTGTAATCGCAGCAAAAGGTGGTGCTACAAAGTATTAACTTAAGGGGGCTGAATAATTTTGCACGCCCAATTTTTCAGTTTTTTATTTGTTAAAAAAGTTTGAAATATCCAATAAATTTTGTTCCACTTCATGATTGTGTCCCACTTGTTGTTGATTCTTCACAAAAAATTACTTTTGTTTATCTTTTTATCATGTGCATTCACTGCTATTCACTGTCGAATTTGGGCTGCAATTAAGTCACCATAACAACACGGCATGCATTTTCTTTAGTACTGGATGTTATACTGTCTTTTTATTTATCAATGCTTACACGAGGGTGGGAGAATTGGTGCTAAGGTGGAGTTGGCTATGTTAGCAGCATGGCTAACCAAAAAAAAACAACCAAAACTCACAGGCTGGAAACGTGAATGAAGCCACTGGCATCGATTTGTCACAATGTGGCCATATGGTACATGCCCACCACACTCCCCCTGCAAAGACAGCTTTTGCCCCAGTGAGAAATATCGTCATGTTGTATTATTGCAAGATGTCATGGCAGGAGACCTCATCATACCCCTAGTAACCAAGACTGCAAGTTTAAAAGCAGGTTTATGTGACATGGAACAACATTAAATTCTCATCACTGTCTATTTTTGTAGTTGAGCCTCCTTAACAATGTTTTTGTGTCATTGCACAAATATTTCAGGCGGCATCAGAGGTGGAGAATCTAAAGTCTCAGATGATGACACTGTTCAAAGAGCTGCAGCACGCCCAGAGCAGGCTGGATGAAGCAGAAGGCATGAAGAAGAACCTGCAGGACAGGTTACAGCCACAGACACGCATACACACAGTACAAATATGCTCATGATTAATCTTAATTTTCAAACCATTTTGTAAAGAAGCTCACAAAAATATGCACTAATAACAAGGTCACTGATTGTTATTTGCTTAAAAACATAAACCAGGATCTTTAATAGAAGACTATTACCAAAACATATGCAAATTTTTACTTTTATCCAATGTTCCTGTTCTTCATTTTGCTCTGTTAATGTCCCATGGTTTTTGTTCTGTGTAGATGTCGTGAAGTGGAACAGGACGTGGCTAGTCTGAAGGCTCAGCTGGTGGAGAAACCAGCTGTTCAGTCAGAGAATGACCGACTGAAGCTGCAACTGGACAGCATGCAGAGCCAGATAGAGCAGAAGACGGCTGGGGAGGAGAGGTCAGAGGGTGCACATGGACATGTAGTACATACAGTATACCACAGAAGTGAGTACACCCCCTCACATTTTGTAAATATTTAAGTATATCTTTTCATGTGACAACACTGACGAAATGACACTTGGCTACAATGTAAAGTAGTGAGTCTACAGCTTGTATAACAGTGTAAATGTGCTGTCCCCTCAAAATAACGCAACACACAGCCATTAATGTCTAAAGTGCTGGCAACAAAAGTGAGTACACCCCTAAGTGATAATGGCCAAATGGGGCCCAAAGTGTCAATATTTTGTGTGGCCACCATTATTTTCCAGCACTGCCTTAACCCTCTTGGGCATAGAGTTCACCAGAGCTTCACAGGTTGCCACTGGAATCCTCTTCCACTCCTCCATGATGACGTCACGGAGCTGGTGGATGTTAGAGACCTTGCGCACCTCCACCTTCCGTTTCAGGATGCCCCACAGATGCTCAATAGGGTTTAGGTCTGGAGACATGCTTGGCCAGTCCATCACCTTTACCCTTAGCTTCTTTAACAAGGCAGTGGTCATTTTGGAGGTGTGTTTGGGGTCGTTATCGTGTTGGAATACTGCCCTGCGACCCAGTCTCCAAAGGGAAGGAATCATGCTCTGCTTCAGTATGTCACAGTACATGTTGGCATTCATGGTTCCCTCAATGAACTGTAGCTCCCCAGTGCCGGCAGCACTCATGCAGCCCCAGACCATGACATTCCCACCACCATACTTGACTGTAGGCAAGACACACTTGTCTTTGTACTCTTCACCTGGTTGCCGCCACACACACTTGACACCATCTGAACCAAATAAGTTTATCTTGGTCTCATCGGACCACAGGACATGGTTCCAGAAATCCATATCCTTAGTCTGCTTGTCTGCAGCAAACCGTTTGCGGGCTTTCTTGTGCATCATCTTTAGAAGAGGCTTCCTTCTGGGACGACAGCCTTGCAGACCAATTTGATGCAGCGTGCGGCGTATGGTCTGAGCGCTGACAGGCTGACCCCCCACCCCTTCAACCTCTGCAGCAATGCTGGCAGCACTCATACGCCTATTTCCCAAAGCCATCCTCTGGATATGACGCTGAGCACGGGCACACAACTTCCTTGGTCGACCACAGCGAGGCCTGTTCTGAGTGGAACCTGTCCTGTTAAACCGCTGTATGGTCTTGGCCACCGTGCTGCAGCTCAGTTTCAGGGTCTTGGCAATCTTCTTATAGCCTAGGCCATCTTTATGTAGAGCAACAATTCGTTTTTTCAGATCCTCAGAGAGTTCATTGCCATGAGGTGCCATGTTGAACGTCCAGCGACTAGTATGAGAGAGTGAGAGTGATAACACTAAATTTAACACACCTGCTCCTCCTTCACACCTGAGACCTTGTACCACTAACGAGTCACATGACACCAGGGAGGGAAGACGGCTACTTGGGCCCCATTTGGCCATTATCACTTAGGGGTGTACTCACTTTTGTTGCCAGCAGTTTAGACATTAATGGCTGTGTGTTGCGTTATTTTGAGGGGACAGCACATTTACACTGTTATACCAGCTGTAGACTCACTACTTTACATTGTAGCCAAGTGTCATTTCGTCAGTGTTGTCACATGAAAAGATATACTTAAATATTTACAAAATGTGAGGGGGTGTACTCACTTCTGTGGCATACTGTACACGTCTACATGACTGCTTTAATTCTTTAGACCAAGGGTATCCAACCTTTTTTCACTGAGGGCCACATACAGAAAAATATATGAAAGGCTGGGCCACTCACTAGAGGTGAGGTACATACATTGCCTCACCTCTAGTGTATTAAAGTGTATTAACAACAACAACAACAAACAAACAAAAAACAAAATCACTCAAATGTAGGTAAATTATGCTTGATAATAGAATATGCTTAAAGGAAAAAACAGCCTACATCATAGCTTTCCATTAATGGGTTTTCATTTAATTATTGTTTTACAAAAAGGGTTGGCAGCTCATTCTTAAAATAGCAGCCTTAGATTGCTTCTTAGTCAGGATGGTGATCCCCCCTTCACAGCCCTGTATAAAGAGGGAAAAATAAGGGGATGGGTATATTTAAGCTAGTTATGCAAATAAGTTATTGGGGTTGTTAACACATCAGCTAATGTTTTTTAGAAAATGTTAACTTTAATGAATTTATTAAGTAATTGGGCTTTTGAGCACATGAATACTCGAATATATTTTTAACTTACCTACAATGGGAACAGCATTGCACTTAATGGGAGCAGTGATGCTGCGCTTTAGACTGATGGATGGCTGGCAGGTCAGGAGTAAGCTTGGTGGTTGAGATGTGAAGGACATCACAGAGATGGCTGTTTGTCATTTGGTTCTCAATCTGCTTTTGTTCAGAGTTAACATAGAAAACATTTGCTCACATATGTATGTTGAGCCAAACAAACTCGTCATTATTTTTGCGTAGAGTCGCGTCAGAGGAAACTTGGCCTTTTCCAAGCTCCAGTAGAAGTTTGATAGGGAGAGAAGCTGATGTTGATTCTTCAGAGAATCATCACACTGCATTTTGATACGTTCTAATTGCAGACTCTCTTCCACTTCTTCTGCATGCACTGGGAAGGAAAAACAGCTTGAATTCTTTCTCAATGACAGAAAGGTTTTGGAAGTGCGACTGAATTCTGTCATAAGAGATGTGATCACAGACATATATTTCCCCTTTTTGTAGAAAGGTTGGCCTTTGGAAAAGCACATTTGATTTTGGACAGCGTAAGGAAGTGCACGATGTTGAAGTTGCGTAGTTGTGTCTTAAAGAGACGAAGCTTCGCACAGAATGCTTTCATGTGTGCATAAAGTTGTGGTACAAGCTGGTCTTTGCCTTGCAGGCTCTTGTTCAGTGTGTTAAGATGATCAGTAAAATCAATTAGAAATGCCAGGTCTGTCAACCATAGAGGGTCCTTCAGTTCATGAAGAGATCGGTCCTTCTCTTTCAAACACTGGTCAGTTTCTGATCTCGGGGAATAAAACCGCAACAAGCCAGTGCACATCAGAATGACAGAGTACGTCCCTGTATTCAGCATTAACATCAGATGGGAAAGCTTGAAATTCTCTGTGGTAGAACCCTTGTGCTCAAATTAGATGGACAGTTTTCACAACTGTGTTCATCACATCGTCAAGCTGGACTTTCTTGGCACAGAGGGCTTCTTGGTGGATGATACAGTGCATTTTAACAGCCTCACCTCCACTCTCTCGCACCTTGGTGCACACCATAGAGGCCATGCCTTTGCGCTTGCCTGTCATAGCTGGAACCCCATCTATTGTAACTCCACACAGCATGTCCCATTTAAGTTCCATCTTGTCAATTGCATCTGACACGGCTTCAAAAATGTCCTTACCCATTGTTGTGCCCTTTAGACTCCTAAAATCAAGCAGCTCCTTTGTAATGCAAAAGTTATTGTCAACTCCCCACAAAAAATTAACAGCTGTGCGGTGTCTGTGTTATCTGTGCTCTCATCACATGCAATCGAGTAAAAATCAAAAGCACAAGCTTTATGTGACACTTGATTTTGTAAGTTAGCTGACAAGTCTTTGATTCGCCGCACAACTGTGTTTCTGGGCATGCTCACATTGTTGAATTCTTGCATCTTTTCCAGGCACATTATTCCTGCAACTTTAGTGAGGCACTGTTTACTGAAGTCACCGTCTGAGAAAGGTTTCCCGTGTCATGCTATGAGTTAAGCTACCTCAGCATTTTTTTGTGTTTTGTTAGCGTGGAAAAAGTACTGTTGTTGAGCTAGCAGGCTAGTTGCCATTTGCTCAAATTTCTCTTCCCGATCAGCACCAGTGTAGATGTGATGTTTGGTTTCATAGTGTGGTCATACATTATACTCTTTCATCGCTGCAACAGTTTCATTGCAAATCAAACAGACACACTTCCCCTTGACTTCTTTGAAGAAATATTCATTTTGTGCATTCACTTGCTATCTTGCGTTTCTTTGGTTCTACCATTTTTGGTCATCTGTGGCAAATTTTTTCATGGATTCTTTTTGTTTAGTGGAGAAGCTGCCTTGTTGAAAACAAGTTGCTTTAGACAATTGGAAATCTAAACTGTTTTAATTACAATGTAGCTATAACTTGAAAATACAGCAATTTACATGTGCAGACAGAACAGACTATATAACTGTGATTTGCATTGTAAACCACCATTTGTCTGCCTCCCAGCAGTGATTAGCCTATATCTGGTCAGACCAACTGACTTACTAGTACCAGAGAGATATAAACAGCAACATCTGTCAAATGAGGTGTGAAGTGATTGATTTATGACCCCCTGGCCCCGCCACTTTTACGCACCTCACTTCATCCCTGCGATAGTCCCACTGGTCTGATGCTGAATCAGGAAAATGCCACGCTTAAACATCTGGGATTGCAATAGCTTTTGGCTATCTATTTCTTTTCGTCTACCTTGGCCTCATGTGACGGTAACCAACAGTTGGCATCTACAGGCAAAATGAAAACTATGTCAGGGTCCAAAGGTAATTTGGATGTGTTGGCACTGCCCCATAGGCTGCAGGTTTAACACAAATTTGATGGTACATTCTGACTGTTCATCAAAATTAGTAGCTGTGCAGCATTACATTGTGGCAAACGTTAAGTTAAAATGGCTAACTTAAAACTTCTTCTACTTTCAGCTGTTCCCGTTGGGGGTCACCACAGCGAATCATCTGTTTTCACCTAACTCTATTCTGGGCATCCTCTAGGGTTGTGTCAACCCTATAATAAAACACTTGGATCTTTGAATTAGGGTTATAAAAACTCCTCCAGTTGTAAAACCAGACGAAGGGGTTGTTGTAAAACTTATAACACGCAGGGTGCAGCCTTCTAATTAAAGCCATAAAACAATTACAGCCACAAACCCCCCAAATTCCTTGTATGTAACATACTTGGCCAATAAAGGTGATTATCCTCTGGAGGGGGGCAGGTGAGGGGATATGGGGGAGGAAGTGAGGTGCGAAAAGGTTGTGGGGCCAGTGGGCCATAAATCAATCACTTCACACCTCATTTGACAGATGCTGCTCTTTATGTCTCTTGTACCTCTCTTGCTCTTGTTTCACAGGAACAACCTGGCCCAGCTTAAGGATGCCTATACCAAGCTGTTTGAAGACTACAATGAGCTCAAAGAGGAAAGGAAGAAGAGAGAGGTAAATCTGTGTATTTTCTCATTTTACCCACTACTTTCACTGATTCCCACCAAAGAGTATAAACAATTAGACATGAGATCCAGATGTGTTTGACCTTTGCCCTCTGGTCCTGCAGTCTCAGTTAGTGCAGAAGGAGGTGGTGGATGAACTACAGGACCGGCTGACTGCTGCTGAAAAAGCCTTGGCTGCAAAACAGAGCCAGATTGATGACATGAAGCAGGAGATCTTCCAGAAGGAGAAGGAGTTAGAGACTATATCTGTGTTTAAGGCCCAAGTCAGTACATGTTAATGCATCTTTTTAGTTAATCCATATTAAATACCTATATTTCATTACATTCAACCCTAGCATGTGGCATTGGTCCTAAAGAATCAGAAGCTCTCATAACAGCAAGGCTCTCGTCATTTACATGGTCTTTGCTTTTTATTATACTCTGCACAGGCAGAGGTCTACTCCTCAGACTTCTATGCAGAGCGGGAAGCTCGGGAGAAACTCCATGAAGAGAAGGAGCGTCTGGCTACTCAGCTGGAGTATGTAAAGAAGCAGCACATCCAGTTACAGGAGGAGATGGACTCCCTGGGCAGGTATGGAATCAAATACCAGATGTAAAATGTATAGGGACTTCGGTGATGGGAATGGTACGGGCTAGGAGTGTTGCATTTGTAGTGTCATGAGTTGGTTTGTCTGCAACTCTGGTTGCAACTGTAGTTCTAGACCTGTGCCCTTTTTCTAATGCAACCATATTCCTTGTGTCTTTTCACAGGCGGTCACTGAATGAGATGCAGAGGAGACATGTATCACTGGGAGGAAATCCATCTGGAACACGGGCAAGTCTGGTTGGAAGAGGTACCTCTTGCTTTTTTTTGCCCTGAGTTTAGTCTTACAGGCAGCCAGCTCGCTGCTAACTTTATCTACTCTTTGATGTTGGACAGGCAGTGTACCGTTTTTTTTTTTTTTTTTTTTGCTGACAACAGCTGTTGGTGGAAATGAAGTTAATGGGAGGATTGGAATTGAATGAAAACAGAGTAGCAGGTCATAAAACCACAAGCTAAAAGACCCAAGTGGTGCATAGTTTACTGAAGATTATGTGTGGGGTTACTTCTAATGACAACTTTCACATTTCATGTAGTTGATATTTGACAAATTGTTTATGAAAAAATTATGAAAAATGGACCTTTAACCACGCAGCATGACTTAAAATACTGTATGTTATGGGTGATGTTTGTTGTGATATACAACACAGTCTGGGTAGAAGTGCTATTGTAAGAGCTTAACTGAGTGTAATTGAAACAGTAGAATCCAGCAAGTTAAGGTTGTGATTTCTGACTCTCAGGCACTGACTGGCAGCATCAGGGAAACCTTCCCGAACACGCCTGCCCAAAGTGCAACGAGATCCTGCCGGACCTGGACTCCTTGCAGATCCACATCATGGACTGCATCAACTAGACCTTCATCATTATAAGCATCTACAACAACAGCAACTGTATCAGCACCTTAAAGTGCCCATGGCATGCTCATTGACAGCCACTTAGTGTTCAATCTTGAGTACGTCTAGATTAGTTTTGCACCTACCATAACTCCAAATAGTCTGTAATTATTTCAGCATGATAAAACCAGAGAGCCTCTTCCTAAAAACGAGAGGATAATTTGTAAACGTGCACACCTCCTGCTGCCGGTGTAGCATTGAAAGTGGACAGTACAATGAACCACAACAGCATTAATTAGTTAGAATTTCTCTTCCATAGATAGGTAAACAATGGTATGTGTATCGATGAAAAGAGATTTGCAATACTATAAACAAAGTGGGTAATTGAGAAACTCCATATTATAGCTGGAATAATGCAGACATAGTAACTTCTCCAGCCTTACAACATTCTCTTTAATGTTATAGAAACAACGCATTAACAGACTGTTAAATTTACACCCGAGTAGTGGAAACATCACTCCCTTTCAAGTAGCTTCAGGGTCAGTAAATCCATCCGGTGATCACTGCAACTTCACATACAGTACATTCCCAAAATAGTAAAATTAATTCCAACAGAAACATCATGGGTCATTAATTTTCTCATTAACCCACATCACATCACATACGGCAGACATACTGGCCCCAAGCAGTCAAAGCAAACAGGTACTGTGCTCCAGGGGAATCCAGCCTTGATGAGCTGATCATTCACTGCCCCAGGGTGCTAAACTGGCTGGCTGCCTGTAGGTTTCCGGCCCTTCTATTCACGCCACATTAGACCCGGTCAGGTAAAACAGCGAGTCCCTATACAGGAACAATCCCAGACATCCTCAAACCCTGTATTTTTCTCCACATCCTCTGGTCATAATGCAGGCAGCAGGGGGTTAAAATATAGCCACAAAACTGCACGCAGTCCATTTCATGCCACTTTTACAATGGCCCCGGTAGATGTCAGGTGAGCTCACATGAATGCGCAACTACATGGAGATTATGACCATTCAAGGAAATCCTTAAACTACCACTTAATACTTTATTTTCTTAGACAAAATCTTGCAAGCGAGAGTTTGTGAGACTTATATAAACCAAGTTGCTTCTGCATATAAGTACTAGAGCATATGTACACTTTAGGTCACATCTAAGATGATAATTCACCATTGTAACTGTAGATAATTCAAAAAACAAGGAATAGCATGCCATGAGCTCTTTAATCTCTGTCTTCCTCTGCTTTGACCTTTACCTCTTCTCAGTTTGGTGCTGTCTTCCTGTCATGCACATGCAGAATAATCCACCAAAGTTGAACCTTTAGGAGTTGCAGGTATTTGCCAAGATGTTTGGATGTTGAAGGGTTTTTAAAATTTAAATTGAATTCTTTATATATTTTTGCTTGGAATTAATATTTTAGCTCAGATGGGTTTTTTGGTGTTGGTATAAAAAGGAGCATGCACCATGTATGCACTTTATATGAAAATTTATTAATTATTTTGCATCAGTACACAACCTGCTAATTACATTGTTATATGTTTAACTTGTTAATCAGCCTGTCACTGTAAGCAATAGCCTTTGTATATTATGTATGTGCAGAAAGTTTCAACACCCAGCTGATTCTGTATATTGTAAAGGCCTTCTGATGCCATGTTATATTTATGTGAATAAAAAAATTGCAATCTTGTCTTTTTAACTCATAACATAATGAGACATAACTGGAAGATTTCAGATAAGGTATTTTTAAAGCATTTTAATTAGAACCAATATTTTATATAATGAAAATAAATTTAACCCGAATTGAACCTGAATAAATTGATGCATGATGTGTTTGGCCCATTAAAGCCCATTGGTCTAAGTGTTTAAAATTTGACTTTTTCGACTCCTAGTGGCTGGTTTCAAAAAATTAACCTGCCACAAGTCTCATCACTCCAAATGTTCACCAGGATTGTCTAAACAAAAAATATACTTAGAATACCTAGAAAAAAATTCCACACAGGGATTTTAAAAAATCGCACATACAGTATTTAAACTAAAGTTTAACTAGTATAGTTAAACTAAAGTGTAAGTAAGTTACATTTCTACAACAGAAGATTTTGTTATAGGTTTTAAACAGTATTAGTGGATTGTATTAGGCTTTCCCACAGGGGCAATAGGACAGAAAGCCACCTGCATACCATAAAGTCGTCTTTCTAGTGCAACAACGCCACTGTCACAAACCCACTTGATATATCAAAGGGATTTTATTAGGACAGACCACAAGGCCACAGACATGGGTTGATAGGTGTAAGAGTTACTGTTTTGTTCTCTTAATTAAATAATTAAGCTTAGGAAAACCAGCTGATTCTCTGTGCTGTGGCGGTTAGTTTAGTTTCAAGGAAGATTACCCCCATTTAGTTAGATATAAGGAGAAGCTAGTGTTTCTCTCCCAACATAGCTTAATTTCATGGAAGATTAAGCAGTTTTTGATACATGTAACACAAGATTTATGGATGTTAGGAATTTCAGTAATTAAATACATTTTAAATTAATATTGCAAATAATTCCTAAGCATAGGAAAAACTGGTTTCATTCCAACAAAGTTTTGAGGCAAGAATTACATTTAGAATAAAAAACAAATATTTGATACATTAATCCTCTTTTCAGCAATTAAATAAATATTGCAAGTAATTTGCCTATGCATAAGTGAACCACAGCTGTTCAATTCAATTCAATTCAATTCAAATTTTATTTTGACGCCACCTCTGCATCTGTTCCTGAGGAGATCCAAAACTCTAATGCTGCTCCTGCTCCTGTGCCTTGGTGAGCTGATAGTAACGTCACCGCTCCAGTTCCTGTGTCTTGGTGGAACAATGAAGACAGCACCTCTGGCCCTGAGTCCCGGTGGGCTGAAGATGACACCACCGTGACTGTGTCCCAGTGGGTCGATGGCAACGCCACCTCTGCCCGTGTGCCCTGACAGGTCTCTACCAACACCACTGCTCCAGTGCCTCGGTTGGTCATCACTGATGCCACTCCAGTCCTTGGGGGGGTCTCCAGCGATGCCACCGCTGCAGTTCTTATATCTCGGTGGATCACCAGTGACACCACTGTTCCTGTTCCTGTGCTGATCTGGGTCGTGATGAATACAAAAACTCAAGCAGCTGCCCATGATTGGATTTCTGATGCCTCAGGCAAATCCCCTGGGTTAGTCCTGACTTTGTCAGTTCAGCCTGCTGCCGATTGGTTTCACCATCATTGCTGACCACCTGTCCATTGTCCAGAGGGGTCCCGACACTGGCTACCTGTCCATTCTCATGAGGGGCCTTTCCAATCCTCCTCTAATAGGATCCTGCCTTTGCCTCTGGTTAGCCTATTCACCTAGGCTTCCTGCTTGGCCCCAAGGTGTCCTCTCGAGTGGCCTCGGCTTCCTGCTCGGCTCTGAGGCAGCCCTCCCAAGTGGCCTCTTCAGCTTCTTGCCTGGTCTAGGGGCCATCCCCCTGAGTAGCTTCTTCCACTTCCTGCCTTGTCCAGATGTCATCCTTCTGAGTGGCCTCTTTGGCTTGCTGCCTGGTTCCAGGGTTTTCCACCAGAGCAGCCTCTTCACCTCCTACCTGGTCCCGAGGTCGTCTGCCAGAGTAGCCTCCATTTCCTGCCTGGTCCCTAGTTCACCCTCAAGGCAGCTGCAACTTGCTGCCTGTTTGTTTGTTGTTTTTGCCCACCTCCTGGTCCTTTTCCTCCCACCCTGCTTGTTAGGGTTTTGGACTTGCTTCCTGTTTGGTACTTTTATCTTGAAAGGGTTTCCTGCTTTTTTCATCCCACCTGCCTCAGCTTTATTCCGGTCTTTGATTACCACTTATTGCCTTCACCTGTTGCTCGTTGTCTCTGAATCTCAAGCCTTTCAAAATTTAATTCAATTCAAATTTATTTCTATAGTGCCGAATCACAACAAAAGTCATCTCAGGACACTTTACAAAGGTCTAGACCTTACTATTATCACTATTATTATAGAGGAAAACACAACAAATCCCTCTTGAGCAAGCACTTGGCGACAGCAAGGAGGAGAAACTCCCTTTAACGGAAGAAACCTCTGACAGACCCCGGCTCTTGGTGTGCGGCCTTAAAGTCAAGAATCAAGTCAAGTCAAGAATCTTTATTGTCATTATGCACAGCACAACGAAATTTCTTCCGGCAGCTCTCAGCTTAAAACACACATTATTTACATAAATAACACAAAAATTGTACAAGTCAATATAAAAATATGAACAGATAAAAATGAAAATGTATGGGACCTAATCAGGTCAACAGCAAATTAGCAGCAGAAGAATATAGTCACATTCTAAAGTGCAGCTCAGTGCAAATCTGTCTTTAAGAAGAGGTGTGAGCATGTGTATGCATCTGCAGGAGTCCAGTATTCTATGCAGTGATAAAATAGATGAAATTATGTGGGACTATGCAATAATCTACTGAGGTGCAATATTTCAGCTCCTGGGGGTGAAATGCATTGTAAATAGGTTCATGTGTAATATCTTGTTCCTGATCTCTCTCAAATACTGTACATTGCCCTGCTTTAGGTATTTTTGAGTAGTTGCTCATAGATCCTTATGGCTGAAACACAGGTTTCTCTCCCCCATTGTGGGATTAATTGTGTGAGTAATATTTGATTGCTCTTGATTTCCTGGTTGTTTAGTCTCTACTGCTGTTCTCTCCAGTGCTGCTCTGCCCTGTTTTTAGGTGCCTTTGATTTGCTTATTTGTGCTGTGTGACGCTACCTTTATAATCCTTGTGTATGGGTTCTAATGCTTTGTTGCCTTTATGTAACTGTCTATTTTAAGACTAAGTGTTCTTTGTTACTATATACTTACATACGCATGCACCATGCAGAATGGCAGCAAGTTACAGCAGCTGTGTCCTCGTTGTGTTCTTTTCTGTGTTTTTATGTAGTTTTGTTCTTATGGTGTTATGTTGGTTGTTCTCTATTGCTGCTGTGACACAGAAATTTCCCCACTGTGGGATTAATAAAGTACCTACTCTACAGAACTCTTGCAGTACAAAGTCGGTGCAGATGTATTCTGTTCATTTTATGTTGTGTGTATTGAGCCTTTCACTATAAGTCACTGTCTTTTAAATGCCATGAGTTGTTTCTATTGAGTTTTAAATGCAGTCATTTGAATTATCAACATTTTTTAAAACACATTTTACAGCTATATGTATTTATTAAATTCTACATACATACAAACATTCTACACTTCATAGCTCTTTTTAAACTTGTATATATGTAAATGTGTACATTTTTGTCTTCTGTTTTTTTATTTGTGGTTTGGGTTTTATTCTCTTTTTATTTTGCTGTGCACATCGGGGGCCATTGGGCTTTAGTGAGATTCCTTGTATTTTTGATAATACTTGGTAACAATGTTTAATAATAATGTAATCCTTCTGTTTGTGCTTATACTGCAGTATATGATGCCTACTTTCCTTTACAGAAACGGGTTTAAGAACTGTTCCGTTTAAAAGCTGAATTTGATGGGAACAGTTTTCTGTTGCACATGAAATCTAGATCATCTGTGTTAGGGGTAGGGGGTGCTGTGGTGTAGGCAGCTGGCTGAAATGAGTTCTTCAGTGGGATGATTCACTTAGTGATAATTTGTATATATTCTGATGAGAGTTAGTGAATGTTTTTATTGCCATTATCTTTGCTCAGACACCTTCATTTCCTCCTTACATATGTAAGATATGAGGTAGGTGTGAATATGTGTGGGTGTGCAGAGATTGAGAGATTGTATTTCTGTGGTTCAAGATCAAGCCCAGCTTTATAGTCATTTCTATACATAGGTATGATGTACATACATACTTTTATTTGACAAACCTTATCCTAGCCCTAACCACTGAGGGGGGCGCTAAGGGAAACCACTTTAACAGCAGGAAATAGCTCAACGGGGAACACATTTTGACATAATACTGGTGTTTTTCAGTCAATTTCTTGCATTTTTCCTTTTATGAACAGCATATTTTGGTAAATTCTGTTAAAGCTTCAACTTTGTTGGTGTGATCGCTTTGATTAACTGTAAATTACACACATTGTTTTGTCCTGTATTGGTAAATGTTAGAATGTCAAATTTAATCAATTCACCCTCCTTTATCCGGGCTCAGCGGCGGCTTTGCGCATGCGAGATTCATTAGCGGTCTGGACGCGCGCGGGGCGGTGTGGGTCTCCACTCTGTTCTGACTGCAGCTGGAACTGCTGCACGAGGCTACTGTGAGTGTTTTGGGACGGGGGAGGGGCTCACGGCAGCACCCGCTGTTCGTTGGGGACAGTAAATGCAGAGTGATACGTGCTTTCACGTCAGTCTCCAAAACACCAGAACAGTCTCCAGTAACACCAGAAAAAGTCGCTAGATTTGTTGCTAGTCGCTTTTGACAAAAAAATTCTCTCCAAGAGAATTTGGAGAGTCGCCAGATTTAGCGAGAAAGTCACCAAGTTGGCAACACTGGTCAACACACGTCTTGCGTTCGTGGATTCCTCTTAGGAAAAAAATACGGCAAAAAATAATATCAGCATAAATGTGTGTTTTGTATATATTTAAGTTAAGAAAGACACTTTCTCTGAAGGAATTCGGTCCTTATAATTTGATTTAAAAGCCAGTTTACGAGACAGACATATTTTTAAGTTAGGCAAATTATTGGGCACCTAGCAGAATTTTGACAACACATCAGGGTCCTTCGTTTAGCGCCAGTTTAATTTCGGGGTACTTTAAGTTGGCTGTTGCATTAACCCAGCTGCCTTTAAGTAAGTTCAGTTTGTTATAAAAATTCTGTTTTGTTTCATTTTGATAGTTCTGTCCAAATGCTAATGACCTACGTAGCTAATTGCTTACAATGTTAAACGTTGTATGTATTTGTCAATTTAAATGGGTTCGCTCTGTGCCTGCCGAGAACTCCATGCCTCTCGCTGCAGTGCCCATAGCAAAAAGTGTCACACACTGTACTGAATTCTAGGGCAGAGTATTGTTTTGTTACAGTTTTTTGTTTACAGTTTTTGTAATTTTCTTCTGGTGCATCCGTGACGTTAATTTGTGATTTAGGATGGTTTATAGCATTGATCAATGTGTAGACTGAGTAGCATTTCCTTGATATGATTCGTCTTGAGGTGTCCTAGATTAATCTTTCAGTATTTCTGAAAAAGAACTTATTAGTACTGCTTTACTGATCTGTTTTTAAGAATATCGGAGGATAATTAAAGTATGTTGATAAGCAGTGGTGGACAGTAACAGCACATTATTTCAAGCACTGCACTGTTGCTATTAAGGCCGTTACAAATGTGAGTATCACACTGTAAGTAAAATAACTGCAAATGTGCAGACATCACTTGACCCACTGCATTGTCCTCTTAACTTTCTTTTCAGGCAGTTTTAGATCAAGTGATGTTACCAGCTATACTGTAGACTGTTGAACAGCTCAGATAATCATTGAAGGTTGTCATTTCTATGTAAAATGTAATGTATATTGTTTTTCTAGAGAAAATGCAAACCAGGCATACAGATCATGCTTTATTTCCATATGAGCTGCCAAATGACTCTTGCCATCACAAAATAATTTCTGCCTTTTGTTTTTATAGTTAACCAGGTCTAAAATCAGCAGCAGTAACACCTCTAAAATGGACAGTAAGTGCTATGACATTTAAAACACACATAAATTGAACTTTATTAGTGAGTCAAAGGATAAGTGAGTATATATCTTTTTCATCTAGGTGAGGATGATCTGGACATTTTGACAGCACTGCTCGCTGAGAATGAGGGCATTGGAGAAGAGCTGGGCAGTCAAGAGCAGGCAGATGACTTGGATGGACTGTTTGATGGAGATGATGATGAGGAAGTGTACAAAGATGGCACTGAGGAGGAAGAGCGAGGTGTGGAGCCAGAGAAGGCTGTGTCAGATCTCTTTGGCGATGTGGATGACATTGAACAAGAAGAGAAAGACACTAAGAATAAAACAAGTGGAGGAGAAGCTAGTGAGAGCTTGAACAGGTCTAATGAGGATTTGCAAGGTTTCATTCTCTTTTTATCTGCTTCTATATGATGTACAGTGTCTTTTTGTTCAGTTAATTGTTACTTGTTTGGTCTGCGTTCATCACTAGAACCTTATGTCTATCTTTTTCAGAGAAGCTTAGACAGATGCAAGAGCAGATGCAGAGGTTGCAGCAGCAGCTGGAGATGAGCCAGAAGGTTTCCCCTTCATCCTCCACTCCCATCAGGAAAGCAGAGAGTTCAGCTGGTCCCAGAGCAGTGACCCTCAAACCAACGCCTTCCCGTCAGCTGAGCTACATAGTCACCCAAGCCAAACCAGCCGCTACCATAGAAAAAACCAAGACACAATCAAGTTAATATTTAGTTGTTCACCAGTGGTTGTGAAGTCTATTTTATGTTATTATAGTAAATACAGAATACATTGTTAAAGTCACATGGAAACAACTGCACTTGCATTGGAAAAGGCTGATATGTTTCTGTTTCATTGTTTTGGAACAGCAGCAGCATCTTCATGTACTCCAGCTGGAGGTAGAGGTGTGAAGCTTCAGGAATCCTGTGACTTTAATGTTCAGCTCAACAGTGCTGACTCCTTTAAAAGCAAACCCAGGGTAGCTCACCAACCGAAACCCAGGACATGTCCAGGTAAAACATAACTTTACAGCTTCCATACATAAAACCCAAACTGGCTATAACAGTTTTGTTATTTTAATTTGTTACAGAATTAACAAAAAAATTCTTTGTCTTCAGATGTCATAAAAGTTGGCAGCTCTTTCCAGCCAGTAGAAAGCACTGGCAAGGTTTCCAAACCTCTGCAGTCACCTCCACCTCAGAGCAGAGCTACACCATCAGGACAGCATAAATCTTATTCTCTCCCTCCTCTTCCAAAAGATTTGGCTGTTGAGAAATACTCAGGACTACGGCTCAGGTCGGAATACTAAGGCGCCTGAAAACATAAGTCAAAACATAAATCCAGGCTTTTTGGTCTGAATCCAGCCTTCATTCTGTTTTAGAAAACCACGAGTTTCTTCCAGTGAGATGGAGCACAAGATGGCTGACCGCCGTCTGATCCGTCTGTCACAGGTGCCGGAGTGTTTGGCCCGGGAGAATCTGGAGGACACTGACTGGGTGACATTTGCAGTGTTGGTTAACAAGGCCACACCACAAAGCAGCCGCAGTGTAGGTCTATGCTCAAACATCCCATCACAGATTGTAATCCTGCTGA